AACCGTCTCCAGATATTTATTCATATGGAAGAAAATAATAATAATAATATTATTATTATTACAAGAGCATTTTATTATTTGTTTTAGAGCGAATCGTTACCGTTACCGTTACCGTTACGGTCCACGCGACTTTTTTATTTTTTTTTAACGACTGAGGAAAATTTTTTTTTTTTTTTTTTTTTTGGGGGGGGGGCGCCACTGAAATCATTAAATATTGTATAACAATAACTGATAGTACGGCGGTTAATTTTTTCGTTTGTTTGTTTGTTTGTGACTTTCATTCTGAATTATTTTCACTTAAATGTTTTTTTAACTCAACCCATTATTCGTTTATCAATGGCACAGCATTATTTTTATGGGTTATGTATACATAATAATAATAATAATAATAATAATTTACTCATATCAAGTAGTTGGTTAGTTTGAAAATGATGAGGAAACAAATCCTGAGATAATCGGTTCGGGGGTGTGGAAGAAGAAGAAGAAAACCTTTTTTTTTTTTTTTTTTTTATGATGACGGTACGAGTTCGACGTAATCCGCCGGATATAATCCCACTCGTCCATCTTTTCTACCCTTGCACCAACCTTGTTCATCTTCATCTTCTAATTTTTCAAAAACGTCTCCTACAAACCGACATCTCTTCTTAGCATTTACACAAAACGAATAAAAAAATTTTTTAAAATTTATCTTACCTTGACTAAAACTAAGTTCGTCCGATTCCGTTGCTTCGTAATCGTAAAGTGCTCTGACGGGTACTCCAGGCTCTCCGTTGTCCACCAACGCTTCTCCGCCATCTTCGTCCCATTCCTCTTCGTCGAATGGATTATTTTCCGTCGTTTTATTACCGTTCCTAAAAAAAAAAAAAAAAATCATATATTAATTTTTCTTCTTTAAAACCAAAATAAATTTAAAAAAAAAAAATGTTCTCACGTTATTAAAGACGTTTTGTTAACAGCAGACGACGGTTTTTCAACGGATTTACTATTCGAATTCGTTATATTTTTGTTCGGTTTTGAATCAGTCGCATCTAATTTAACGGCGTCACTGCTTATTACTTTTGATGTGAGCAAAGATTTTTTCGTAGATTTGTTATCAACAGGAGGATAATCCTAAAATATCCAAAAAAAAAAAAAAAACAATAATAGAACAAACAACAAATTCTCTCATACCGTAATTGTTTGTTTGTTTTCATTGTTATTCCAGAAAAAACAAATAAATATGAGGATAATAATAATAATAATAATAATTACGTACGTGTAAATCCTCTCCCACTGGCCTTTGATTGATTAATGTGATTGGGCCAGCCGGAATCCCTTCTTTCAATTTTCCCTTCGATATATCTCTAAATTCTTCCGTATATTCCTGGAAAATCATGCATCAAAAAAAAGGTAACCACTAATTTTACTCTCTCTTTTCAGGTACGAAAAAAAAAGCTCATACAAACAAATTATGAATGAAAGTAATAATAATAATAATAAAATCATTAAAAACTAAAACTTCACATTCATAACAAAATTAATAATCATGTTCAGCATTTTTTTTATCAGAACACAAATTAGAAAAAACCAAAATTTCCCAAAAAGGGAAAATCATATAATGAGAAAACATTTCCATCTTGAAAATTAAAACAAAATAAAGGATTTCAATACAAATTCGTCAGCCATATTAATGTCAATTTCATTTCATGTATGAAGAAGAAAGGGAATATTAATATGAACATTAAAAATAATTATTATTACTACAGAAAAAACATTCAGAGAACATTAAAAAGAAAAAACTCTTTTTTTCTTTTTAATGCATGCAAAAGAAAAAAATTTATATATATTTTACCTCGAACATGGGCCAATTCATGGCCATGTTAACCCCGTGATTATTACTCCACCATTTTAAATCTTTTTCATGATCTGCATTATTAATTGTATGATTGAATTCTTGATATATTAAAGGCAACCTGAAAACAAAAAAAGGAATTCATTAAATATATATATATATATTGAATAGGTTTACATAAAAATTTAATTGAATTCTTACTCTGAAACTTCCGAAATGTTTAAACCTCTTTGTACTGCAAAAAGGACTTCTTTAAAAAATTTCAGTCTCTCCGCTTCCATGTCTTGACATTTGACAAAAACCGTCGTCATTTCTTCTATGTATTTCGGATTGTAACTGTTTAGTTCGGCTAAAGCGGCTTCGTATTTTTCTTTACCTTTCTGAACTTCTTCTTTTGATTTTTGCACTCTGTCTTGCATTTTTTTAACCTAATTGCAATTATTATTAATGTCATTAATGTAAACTCATTAGTTTAAACTTTTCGAATGAGGAATCCAACGTTACCTGATCGGGAGAAATAGACGTGTCACCAGACGCATTTCTTTCTTGATTCGAAGCGGATTTCTCAGCTTTGCAAGCACCGTGATAATCTTGTTTGGCTTTGTTAACTTTCTGTAAAAGTTTGGCCCAAGGCTTTTGAGCCTTTTTAAATGCCTCTTCCATATCCTTCCTTTCTTTTATTTGCATCATTGACTGAAAACAAAAAGGAATTAATTTAATTTTCATAATTAAATATAAAAACCGTTAGTTTTTTTTTATTTACGTCATTATTCACATAATATTTGTGCTTCGAAATTATTTCGTCATTATCGCATAACATACCTTATGAAAAGTATCTTTTTGCCATGTTTTTATTTGCGTCATGACGTCATTGCAGAGGTTATCCTTGATTTTTATATGAAGATCTCCAAGCCTTTCTGACTCGACGCAAACACCTTTAAACGCGGCTTCGGTTGTACCATATTCAGGACCTGAAATTTCACACATTTTTCAGGTAGAGTTTTAAAATTTTTTAGTGTTTGGAAAAAAAAAAAAAGAAAAAAAAAAGAAAACCTTTTTCAATTAATTCATTCCATTTTTTAGACCATGCCTTTAAACTTTTTGCATAATTTTTTTCTATATCAGCTCTTTCTTGTATCATGGCTAAAAATTCTGAACATAATTTATAACCATCTTCGATTCTTTTCGTCGTTCTTTTATAATTACCAGGTTCCCAAAAACTATCGCTTGACGCAATTAACATATTATCATCACTATGGTGTGACATTTTGATGGATTTTGAATTTGAGTACCCAACTGAAAACAAACAAAAAATTATTAAACCAAATTTGGGAAATTTAAATAAGTAGAACAAATTTCCTAATAATAAATTACACGTGATAAACATATATACTATAAAATAATATTAT